GCTCGCCGGGCGCGGAGTCGCCCTGTCGGCGCCCTCCGGAGCCCGGGTTAGCCCGGGTTAGCCCGGGTTAGCCCCGGTTAGCCCGGGGCTGCGGCGTCCGGAAGCTGAGCCCGAAGCCGCGGTCGCCGTCTGGGTGGCGCGAGAGGACGGGTCTGCCAGCGCGGCTGTCCTTGCGGTGGGTTTTCAGCCACGTGTTCGTCGTGAAGCTTAAACAGTGGAGGTGACAGGCGTCCTTTTGAGTGCCCCGTAAAAATAACCTCCCAACGCAGAAAGTCGTGGGGCGTCCGCGCAGCGACGAGCGCGGTCGCTGGCTGTCGCTCCTTTTACTCAGACCTGCTGTTTCTGCACGGGAAGAGTGTTGGCTTCTGGTTGGGAATTCGGGTTGGAGTGGACCCAGGAGCAAACGAAGCGGGCTGTTCGAGAGCTTGGGCTGTCACGACAGCGGTTTGTGACCTCACGTCTTCGCTGCCCCGCAGGGAGTCGGAGCTGCGGGGGTCTCCGCGCAGCACGTTAGTGGCGGCGAAGCAGCGCTTCGCTGTGAGGGACATAGTCGAGGAAGGGCGGAGATGCCCTTTCACCATTGCAGCAGCTACGGCAGCTTTCTAGAATTAAGTGATGTCCCGCAAGTCTCAGACGTTTAGAGGGCGCATGCTACGTGAAGACGGTGTATTCGTCACACATTTTTATTCATATGACTGAAAAGCAGGATGGGGAAGAACCAACGTTTCAGTACCTGCAGTTTGCCAGGTACAGCAGTTATGGGCTTTGCATACACAGCTCAGTTTAACAGAGCTGATGCACTCTTCTGAGGCTCAGAGATTTGAGTGGTTATGTAACAAAGGGGAGTTCAAATCTAGAGCTACTTTGCTTTAAAGTTCTACATCATCTGAAGTTGCCTAGCTTGAGGTTAAAAAGGATTTTTCAGCATTTTTTTCCTAATACTGGTCTTAACACTCATTGAACATCTAGAATATGTCCGGAACCCCTGATTTAATACTTTTGAATAAATCAATTCTCATCTCTCACCGAGCTGCTCACTAAGACCGTACAAGCCTGTTCCAGATCCACCTGGTTGTATTTGGGTCAGAAATGGTAGGACTGGACTTTTGTCACAAGGGACCTTTCCCAGGTCATACGTTTATGGTTCTACAGTTGAAAGTATGAGTGAAGTGGTGTTTTTCTCCAGTGTGAAGGGTAGTGTCCGCAGTCACAAATAGAAAATTTATTTCTTACAAATTTTATTTCAATACTCAAAATATATTAAACATCAATATAAGGAATGAGGCATGATAATATTTCATGTTCATTTTGAGTTTTTATTTGAACTCTATCTGCTGTGCTAGTTTTTGGTCCTCCTTAATTTATCCTATTTAATTGGGAAAAAACCTGAGACATTAAGGTAATGGTCACATTTAAATGACTTAGTAATGGAAAGAGCTAAATTATTCATGGTTTCCAGTCGTATCTGTCCAGACCTGGAGTGTTTTTATAATAGGAAACATTTATGTAATACTGTACTACATCCCTATCTAAATGTTTAACTTACGTCCACAATAGCACCATGAGGTAGTTTTTAGACAAGCAACTAAAGCAAAAAGGACGGCATATCCAAGTCATATACCTACAGAACAGTAGGTTTGACTAGGTATCAAACCAGGCAAGATCAGAATCTTTATTCTAACATTTACTGATTACCTCCTTTGTGAACCAACCCCACAAATAGGTGCTTTTATTATGATAAAGCATTAATCTTTACAACTACCTTATTCAGAATGGAAATTCAGCATTAAATAACTTGCCAGGAAGTCACAAAGTAAGTGACAAAATAAGTAATGGGAGCTGGGATTGGAATGCAAGCTTACCTTACTACAAGTTGTGTATATGCTTCCAAAGCGAGCACACCTTACTTTTTTTTTTTTTTTTTCTCTTTTTGAGACAGGGTCTGGTTATGCAGTTCACACTGGCCTTCAGCTCACTTTGTAGCCCAGGCTGGTCCCACACTCACAGGATCCTCCTTCTTCAGCCTCCCAAGTGCTGGGATTACAGGTGTGTTCCACCACGCCTGGCAGAGCACACCTTACTTCAAGTTGTATGCTCTTTGCTCTGTTCCTTTTTTGGCGGGGGGTGTGGGGGGGTGGTTAACCAGGAATCGAACTCAGGACCTTGCACTTGCCAGGCAGGCGCTGCACCATCAAGCTATATCCTTGGCCCTTTCTACTCCATGTTATTCAAGTCTTTATTAAATACTTTCAGTGGACCAGACCCTGTGCTTTGTACTAGCAATGTGGTCTTCACTGTGAAGGAATACAGACTGAAGAGGGATGAAGACAATTAGGAGAGTATATTGAGCAGTAGCAGAGTGGCGTACAGAGGTACGAAGGGCACACAGAGAAAAGGTACTGAAATTAGTGTGAAGTGGGAAGGCTTGGGCCAGTCTCAGGAAAAAAAGGAACTAGCTTGGGCAAGAAAAGGGTGGTGATAGGGACTGAGTTGTGTCTTATCAAAATTCTTACGTTTGAACCGTAATCACCATAACCTTGGCTTTGACTATGTTTGAACAAGGCTTTGGGAATGATTAAGTTAAAAAGAGGACATTTAGTGGGGCCTTCATTGAATTTAACAGCTAATTTTATAAGCAGAGAAATTTTGGATGTAAGAAGAAATACCAGAGATGCATCTGTATGAGGAAAGTCCAAGTGCGGATGTGTCAAGATGGTCAAGGAGAGAGGCCTTAGGAGAAACCAAACCTGTGAACACCGTATAGTCTTGCACTTCAAGCCTCTAGAGTTGTGAGAAGATAAATTTGGTTGTTTAAGCTACATAGGCTGTGATAATCTGTTACGGCAGCCCCAGAAAACTAGTAAACGCAGGGTTCCAGGCAAAAGGAATGGCATACAAAAGGTCTTTTGGGGTGAACACGTGATCAGGGTTTCCTGGTGAGGAGAGACATTGGAGAAATGACACTGGAGAGTAGGCTGGGCCAGATTAGCAAGATTTTGTATGGGATTGGAAGGGGCTTTAACCTGTCCTAAGGGAGGTGGAATGGAGAGGGTGAGTAGCAGATTTGCATGTTAATAAGACTGTTCTAAGTTTTGGGGAAGACAGATCAAAGGGGTTACAACTGGATGTGGGGAGACTTTAGGTAGTGATGGCCATAGGAGGCAGAACTAAGGACTGTCTGGATGTTGAAATAAACTAAAACAGAACCTTTGTTAATATAAGGAAGACTGTAAAAGGAGTAGCTAACCCTTAAGGCATGCATAAGAAAATTTAGAAAGAATTTGTATATAGCAGTTTGTACTAAGACACTGCCTGTGTGCTTCCCATTTCATTTTCCCTGTACATGTCACAAAACTTTAAACAATTGCCATAGCATAGTGAATACTGTATTTTTCCATTGTAAGTGTGATTTTTGTGTTCTGATAGACCCTTTTATGATGTTCACACTGTCCTAAATCCAATCCTCTGAAGCCTTATGGAGTATCTGCTATGATCTCTGTTGGATACATAAAGGTAACTGAAGCACAAGAGAGGTTAAGTAACTTGCCCAGCATCACATAGCTAATAAATAGCTGAGTTCAGATTCAGACTCAAGCATTCAGCCTTCAGAGTCTACATCCTTAGCCTTATATTATGCTGTTACTGTATGATGTTCATTGAGATCTTAATAACTTACGAAGAAATACTATAAAAAATAGACCATTTGCTGTAGAGGTAGACAGTTTACAAGAGGAGATGAGCAACAATTACAATGAAGGATTTCTGAGAAGGTTGGAAAAAGCAGAGGGGTGAGAGACAATGGTGACTTTGAGTTTGGCCTTTTGGGGGAGGCTTGGTGGAGATAGAGCGTTTAACTGGGGCTTCTGGGAGGCCTTGGTGGAAACACAGCATTTAGCTGGTGTGTGAGGATTAGAATTTGGATACAGAATGGAGAGAGGACATCAAAGGTAGAAGAAATTGTATGAACAAAGTTCATGGGTTGGGAACCTCTTGGTGTGTCTAGGAAGCTAGTAAGTGCAATCCAGTTTTGGCTGCAATATATTGCGTGGCTGGTGCAGGAAGGTGGAGAAGCCAATTTGCTGGGAGGGCACAGATGTCTGGGACAGAAAACTTGAGGTGGGACAAGTGAATGGAGCAGTTTCAGTCATGAATCCCAGATGTCTTTATCTCTTAGGAGAGGAAAATATTTGCCTATTCCACCAGTGAACAAGTCCTGTGTTCTCTGACAGATTTCTCTTTATTTCCATTCACCCAGTGATAGAGGCCCAGAGACACGAGAGGCTGTAATGAGGAAGTGAAGTAAATGACAAAGGTGAGGATCTCTGACTGAGTATGAGCAAGGAGTACTAGGTGAAGGAGGGGAGAAGGCAGGATCAGGCTATCCCAGGCCTTTAGACCCGGATTAGCAGCTTCAAGAGAAATTGGGTCATGGCGGGATTGAGTGTGAATGAGAAATGGGGAGGAAAAAATGAGAATGGACATTGGAGAATTTTGAGTGAGCATCCTCTGTGAGAACAGTAGCTAAAAGTCCATAGGGAAAGGAAATTTTTATAATTCAGTCTATTTTTAATAAAATGGGAGGTTTTGGGCATGTTAGTAAGCCAAGGAAGACAGTGAAGCAGGTGGAGGACAGGCTAACCAGTGGAGCAAGGTTTAGAGAAGGCAGGAGCAGGGACTGTGCAGGAACTTCTGTTTCATTATTTTTAATTGTGAGGGCAACTGTGCATGGTAGAAAAGTTGAAAACCACATTGTATAAAGTTTCTCCCCTTTCTGTTGAGCCATCCAAGTCCCCTTCTAAAAGAGTTACTAGGGGCCGGGGGTATAGCTCAGCAGCACAAGCACCTGCCTGGTAAGCGCAAGGTCCTGAGTTGGATTCCCAGTACCAAATAAATAAGTAAATAAATAAACAAAAGAGTTACTAACTTACGTATACTTCTGCCAACAAGTGTGTAAGAGCATTAGAGATGTTGTTCTTGTACTTAATTCTCAAAAAGCTGTTTTAGATAATGTGGATTTATTGGTGGGAACAGTGAGAAAAGAAGAACAGAAAGGGTAAGAGATGAGTGAGTAAGTTGTGATATGGGCTTGTCCCAAAGAGAAAGGACATTTCAGAGTATTATAGAGGCCGTGCCTGTGGAGTGAGGCCGTAGTTGATGACTGGATTTACAGCAACCCTGTTCTGAGGGCCAAAGGTTTTGTGACCTTTTTAGGAGAATTTAGCTGCCTTATATTTAAAATGCAAGTCAGTATAGAAAATGGATTGCTCAGAAATTCATCACTTATTAAAGTGTGGGGTCAGAGCTCTGGTCTTTGGTCTGACACTCGGCCATGGGTATGACACATGCTGTGGGCTTCTTCAGCCTGCTGGTATAAATCAAAACAAAGGAGCCTTTTTGGTTAAGGAGGAGCACTCTGTCTGGCAGAAGAGAAGAGGAGGTGGAGTGATTGGGAAAAAGTATCCAGTTATTAACGTCTTTCTCTGTGGGTATGAGAAAAACCACTGAGTTTGTTTTCTCTTTTTACTCACAAAATTATAAGACTACAAATGAGGCTTAATTAGTAGCTGTGAATTTTTAACAGAAGATAGCAGATTATGTCTCATTTGCTGTGGGTCTTTTTGTGAAGGACTTCATAATTAGCTGCAAGTGCCTAGTGGAGAACATGATAAAACTAAGCAATGAGCCAAAGAAGGGTTCATTCTTTAATTATTACAAGAGAAGTGTTATTGCTATAAAATGATTAAATCATTCTAACACCAAACTCCTTTATAGAATTTTTCATGAAACACATACAGCATTTTCTTTAGCAAGTTCAGTCTTAGCTTGATTTTGCCTCTTAAGGCACTTTATTTGGTTGATGTTGAGCTGAAAGTAGGTTTCTGTAATTCAGGGGCTTGACATTTTTAATTGATAAACTGGTACTTACGCATACATTGTAATCTCTTTAATATGTTGTTAGGTTTTGGACAAACAAAAATAAGATCTCTTTCTTCAAGTAGCTCCAAATGTAGGGAGGGAGAAATAACTAGTGAACACATTGTCATTAAACAGAAGAGTCATTGAACTGATAAGAGCAAAATCACAATGAAAAATTTTAAATTCCCTAAACCTTTTTTTCCATATTGGTCATCCACTTTGTATTTCCTAGTATCAGTTAACAGTGAAATTCTCACAGAAGAGAGGTGGAATGACTTGAGAGGCAGTGTAGAAAATCAGTGTATTCAGAACCAGTCTAGAAGAAAAACACCAGGTGAGGGAGATGCTTGGTGAAGAGGGACAAGAGCGCCTGCCATGCTCCTGGTGCTGGAGCACTGAAAGCCAGGGTCTGAAAACCGGCAAGGGGAAGAAACAGGCCATGAGGCTCCAGCTCCAGCAACACCTTCTGGGCCCTCTGATAACCTGGTTATCTGCTTTCTCGCCCAGCCAACAAGTTAGGAAGGGAGAGGAATGTTGGCTGTAGGGGAGTGTGATAACCTCACAGGGAGATTAAAAATAGTATTTTATAACATTTCATGTAGGGAGAAAGAGCTGTTCATAAGATTTTAACCCTGAAGGATTTCACTGTGCAGTTTCACATCATCACATGTATTGCCTATATAGTAATACTATTAATGGCAGTGGCCCTGAGTCATCCAGTTGTTTTCAGTCTGTTCTGAGGACTTTATTTTTCCTCTCATAGCTGTTTACTACATTTTCCTGCTCATCATGTCTCACTTTAGGTGGAGGATATTTTAGCCATCAATTGTAAGAAAACTGCCGAAAGCCAAAAAGAAAAGTATTAAAGTTTTTGTTTTTGTTTTTTTATACCACCATGCTATCAATCCCATCTCTAAAAAATGTTTTCTCTTGGGTATTACTGATAGGCTTAATTGGCTCAGCCCTATACTGTGTGTACAACTCCTACTGAAACCCAGGAGAGGCCTGGACAGTTTTGTGCATTGCACTAAGAAAGCCTTCAGTTCTCAAATGCTTTAAGTCTCATGTTTTTCATGTAGTTTATTTTTTTCTTAGTATAGACTGCAAAGATGCAATTGAACTAATTTATGGAGTATTTGTCAGTTGCACATAGTAAGGTGTAGAGAGACCTAATTTATTAGAGTAAGAATTTATTTTTAATAGCAATTTTATTTTACTTTTAAAAATGTTATTGGTACATTTTAGATATACACAATGATAACATTTGTCATAGGGAATGTTAAATAATGTGCATGAAGAAACGCCTGGAGACTGAGACTATGGGAAAGTCTAGATTTAATTCCACCTACATACAGGAAGGCTGAGTTCAGAGTGATACCAGCAAATATCTGGAGGGGAGGCTAAGTATATTTAGGGTTGGAGTCCCAGTCTCAAAGAATCTGGATGGTATGTTAAGGTCAAAGCTGGAAGGACAGTCAGCGCAGTGTGTATATAAAGCTGGGTCTTCCGGCGTCAGGAAGACTGCAGGTCCATCCTAAATTTCTTTATGGCCCTTCATTCTTGTTTGCTGAGGGCAGCCTGGATTCTTACTGTTTGTAGAGGGCAGTATGAAAGTCTCTGTCAGGACAGGCCTGACAGGGAATTTGTACCTATACATGATATATCCTGCTTCTTTTCTTTTTCCCATTCCCCTCCCTTCAACTCCTCTAACCCTCATTATTTATAAAAGCTTTGTTTCCATTTTTTCCCTTCTGTTATTTTTTTCCTCTCCCTGCCTTCCTCTCCCCTCTCCCCGCCCTTGTTCCCCTACTCATTTGAACATTTTCCTCCCATTTCCTAACATCTGTTTTACATTGTGATCCTTATTTACACTTTTGGTTTCTCACACCAAAGAAACTATGCAATATTTAAACTAAGGATTTGTTTTGATCTGTATTTTCCGTTTAGCGGTTCAAAACAAGTCATAAACTTATTCCAACTTATGGTAATGATTTTTTTCATATTGCAGAAGAACCTATTTAAAAGCAAAATCAAACTCAGATCAAAGAGTTGAAGAATGTACATAAAAACACACATATATCGTTCTGCCTCATGGTAAGTACACTCAGCTTTGGGACCAAATAATTCATTTTCAAAAGCAAATATAAACAGTTAAAGACAAACTGAGGATTTATTTTTTTTTTTCTTTTTATAAAATATCAGTATGTATTTTTATTTATTTGTTCGTTTATTTATTTTGTCTTTTTGAGATAGGGTCTTGCTATGCAGTTCAGGCCGGCCTTGAGCACACTTTGTAGCCCAAGCTGACCTTGAACTTGAAAGGATCCTCCTGCCTCAGCCTGCCAAGTGCTGGGATTACAGGTGAGTGCCACCACGCCTGGCAAGTATGTATTTTTAAAGAGTGGCATGGAGAGATAAGGTTGTACTAGAGTTACCTCAGCTTTTCCAGACTGTACACACCCCTGTCCCCACACTTCTAGGCTCTTGTCAGTAGACGTCATAGAAACAGACATGGGTGTCATTCCTAGTACTGTAGGTAGCTAAGTTAGATAGAAGTTAATGGACAGGCCATGGAGGGAGTCAGTGCAGGAGAGGAGAGCATCTCAGGACTGTGGCTGGAGGAGCATCGGTTGAAGATGAAGGTGCACTGGCCAGGCCAACATGCCTCCCTAAGGAATAATCAGCAAATTCAGATTATACTGTAATTAGCACCACCTGGTCCAAGAAGTCCAGCTAGGCGTTGCTGGGTGACCAGAGGATCTGAACCCATCCCTCCATTGAAATGCCTTTATTCTTTCCATGTACCCTTGCTATGTGACTCGCTTCCCTATTGGAGCAATATTAGCTAAACCGTTATACTTGTAGTCCTATATGTTTACTGTAGTTTGATCCATGTTGTACCCACATTGGGACTTTGCTGTATAAATTGGCCCTGACAAAGGGCCTTGGTGGCCACCCACTTGGGACTCCTCCTGTCTCTCAAAAGCTAACTCTTGGGCAGGGGAAGTAGCTTAGCGGCAGAAGCACCTGCCTGGCAAGTGCAAGGTCCTGAGTTCAATTCCTGGTACCAAAAAAAAAAAAAAGCTTAACTCTTAATAAGCCTTTCCTACTCTTAACCTCCATTGTTCCTTGGAATTCATTCTTTGATTTTGGGGGACACAAACACATCTGACATCTAGCAGGTTGGGAGTTGTATTTCATGTCACTAGTTTTTACTGGCTTGGACAAGGTAATTAACCTTTAAGCCTCAGTGTTCTTGTCTATAAAATGGTGACAGTAATCTCCACATCATCAAGTTGTGAGGCTCAAAGTAAATTATGGATGGGAAGTATTTAACATGATGCTAGACACGTAGAATGTTGGTGTTAGCTGTTATTATTAGAAAAGACTGAATTTCAAACATAAATGCAGATATACAGCTTTATCATTTTTCATTTGAAACTCAGCTATTTTGCCCTTATTGTATATTATTTACCAGTATAAGCTAATCCTGAAATACAGTGTATTTCCATTGAGATATTCTTCAGTAAAGTCATGAATTTAACTGAAGTGTTTTGGCTTTTGCTTTCAGTGTCAAAGAGTTAATTCTTTGGGAAATTCTCACAGAGCAATGTTACATCCTCTTCAATTTTGCAGGTCTAGAAACTAAAGTTTTCTGCATGCAGTAAGAATTAATCAGGCCTGAAAGAAATGTCACACTAAACAAACTCACTAGAGAAGGATAAGTAAACCAGAATATATGATCTTACTATACAGTATATCTCTGGTGAATTGCACATAGAGTCCCCATAGAATTAGTATGTTTCTCCCTTGTAGGAGTGTGGGAAGTGGTGATCTCTCCATGGTCCCTGAGAGAAAACGTGGGAGGATTTAGAAAATAAAGAAGAGACCACAGCGGGGGTCAGGTGGAGTTACCTCTTGCCTGATGAGCAAGAGGACTGACTCCAACAGTAGGGGCCTTTATTTTATACACTTGCAAAGTAGTATCATGAGAGATAATGTTGCCTAGAGACTAAGATTAAGACTAAGACTGTAATTGTCCAGGCAGGATACTTTTTTCAGTACTGAGGTAGCTTGACTGCCTGAGGCACTCTGGATGTATCCCACCCTCAGACACATGACCAACAACCAACTCCATCAGCTGCCAACATAGGAGTATCTACATGAGAAGTCAGACTGCCAGAAGTTTAGGTGTGGAGGACCATGGAAGTGTGGGACAAGTAGGCTAAGAGAACGGGGAGGGTGTGTGGGGCAGCAGTGTGTGTTCCAAGAGCCACATTCCCTGTGGCTGGAGAGGGCCAGGTCACAGCACCGGGTCTGGAGCTATTGCAGCATCCAGGGGCAGACAGAGGCTTGGGGAATAAATTCGCAGGAACTGGCAACCTCGTGGAAAGCAGGATTGAGGAGAGAGGGGAAGAGTGAGTCTTAGATTTCTGTTTTCCACTGATCAGGTGACTGGTGATATTAACTTCTTAGAACAACAGCAGAAACAGATTTTATGAGAAAAGGAGAGGGAGTTCGGTTTATAATGTGGGGAATTTATGGTACAGATTCTAAACTGATACTGAGATTTCCAGTTTAAAGTCATGAAATACCGAGTTGGACTGAAGATAGAAACTTGAGGTGTAACTATCAGGTAGTTGGAATTTAAGACGTTTGAGGTAGTAGAGATTCCTGAGGAGAGAAAGAAGAGAGCACCTGCCTGGGGATAGGAGATATTAAAGGCAGGTAGAGGCAGCAATCCCGAATTTCCTCAGCCACCTGGATACTCTGTCCTTTAAGCTCAGAATTTGTCTCTTGAGAGAGGAGGATAGCCAATAACTGTATCTCAAAAAAGTCATCTTTTCATACTTGTTTTCTTAATTTCATTGACAACCCCAGTCATCCAGTACATGTCAGTTCTCAAAAAGTAGCTGTCTTGGAATCCTGGAGATGATTGTGACAGTTGGTTTTGAAAAAACAAGGCTTAACATCTAATAATACTAAGCAGACATTATATGTCTAAATGTAATATAACCAGAAAGTCTCTTGCCTAACAGAATTATGTTATTTTATTTATTTATTTTTTTGCGGTACTGGGGATCGAACTCACAACCTCGCGCTTGCCAGGCAGGCCCTTATGCCACTGAGCTATATCCCCAGGCCCCAGAATTATGTTACTTATTTTGTTACATGTCTTAGCTATGTGAGAATTCCAGCATAATTCTAGAATTACATGTGCTTAGAAACATGTTTGTAATCAGTATTCTTCCTTCCTGACCATCTCTCAGCCTCCCTTCCCCCTTTTAAATTACACCCCGGTCTTGGTCATAAAAGATTGAGTGTCCTGGTACCAGGGATAATTTTGTTTATTTGAAGAGTCTATATTGCCTGTAGTTTTGTTTTGGGCATCTATCGTATGAGAAATGATGCTTCTGAAGTCTTCAATGTATTTGCCATAGTTTGTATGTCTGGCTGCCGAGTGGCTCTGATTTTAATGTGTTACCATGCTGAGCACTATAACTTAAATAACAAGGATTTAGGGTCATTGTAGGCCACCAAAAGCAGTCTACATTTTGTTAGAGTGGAGAGAGAAATGAGAACACTAATTTTCTTCCTGTGACTGTTTTTAAAATTTGAATATTCTTTACTACTATGTGAAAGTACTGTTTCAAGGGGGCTTCCTCACTTGAAGATAAATCCTGAAGTGCAGTTATATAAGAATACTTAGTCTGAGAGCACAGTTGTGTCTGTGGTTCAGTCTATTTTCAATCTTCTGTGAAGAGTTTCTAGACTTACCAGTAAATGATGCCTTTTGATTTAGTCTTCTACCTACATTTTACCAGTCAGCATTGAGAGGATTTATTTGATCCCAGAAGCGCAGTACATATTTTAATACCCACAAAATCTACTATATAAGATGTTGCTACTCAAGATGTTTCTCCCAGTTTTAGTTTTGAGAACAGGAAACCCACAGATACATTATGCTGTTTATTCTGCCTTACTTATTTTTGAGGACCTCTACTTGTTTTTTCTTTCTTTTTCTTTAACCATTACTATAGTTAAAAAGACAACATTTTCTGTGTTTAATAAAGATTTAAAGCTAGGTACAGTGGTGTATACCTGTAGTTCCAGCTACTTGGAAGGCTGAGGCAGGAGGATCACTTGAGCCCGGGAATGCAAGGTTCAAGAACAACTTGTGCAACCCCATATTAAAATTTAAAAAATAAAATAAAATAGCTGTAATGCTTGTATTAATATCCTGGAGCATAAATTCTTGGCAGTAGCTACCTTTGTGAACCATATTTCATTTCATTTCATTTTATTTTACTTTATTTTATTTTATTTTGTTTTATTTTATTTTTTGGGTACGGGGAATCAAACTCAGGACCTTATGCTTGCCATGCAGGCGCTTGTACCTCTGGTCTATATCCCCGGCCCTTAACTCATATTTTAATCTGAATAACCCAAATGTCAGCGGAGTGTCCAGACCCTTCAAGAGGTGAATAAGTTGGTTTGAACTTTCAGGTTCATGTTATGGGAAAGCCAGAACTTTCTGTAAGATTCCTGCAAATCCATATTGTTTTGGACTCTGAGTGGCCTCTCAACCTGGACCTGCCCTCTCCCTTAGGCAAGAGCAAATATTACTCCCCGATTCTCACTCCAGGCACTGTCTCACCTTAATTCCTATGGTGTAAAGCCTTACCTTCCACCCTGTGACTTTCCCACACAAAAATCATTTTTTCACAAGAGGAGCTTTACGTTTTTTTGTGGTTTTTTTTTTTTTTTGTCTTTTTGAGACAGAGTCTCACTATGCAATTCAGGCTGGGCTTGAACTCACTTTGTAGCTCAGGCTGGTCTTAAACTCCCAATGATCCTCCTACCTCAGCCTCCTGAGTGCTGGAATTACAGGCGTGCGCCACCACACTCGGCCTTTACCCTTGTTAGGCTGATAAAAGATAAATTTTTTTGATTCAACTTGATAATAATAATAAGCCCATGGTAACACTTCTTTTCTCCATTACCAAACTTTCAGATATTTAAAATGCCCACTGAATTCAGTCTGTATTCTATATAAGAAACCTATTTTGAAAAGGCTTTTACTAATGCTAGAA